GAGAAAACATGCCACATTTTCCCTGGGGCCAGATCCCACAATCAAATAAAGATAAATACCAGTTTAATGTAGTTCGTGAGATTTTAGTGAGGAATTATTTCCTAAATATTTATTCACCAGCTCAATATAAGCTCACAGTAGGCAAATGGATAGACTTAACTTGCTATGATTACAGTCTTGTTTGAGCTGGTCAGCTACTTACAAAATGAGACTTTTTTTTTTCTGTAGACAGAAGAGACTCCTATGACACGAGTATGAACTTTTCCTAAACTATTTTATCCTTAGTGTCCAACTTTAGCTTAGATGGTCCACCTGATGAAGAGCTGACACAGAGTTAATCATCCTTCTACATCAGGCCCCTTTACCTTAAAGGGCATTGCTCAGACAAAGAAAAACAAATTCGGCCTATCTAAAGTAATTGGTACTAAGAAAAAACAACTAAACTTGTTTAATGATACCCTGTATCCTCATAAACTGATGATTGTAGCCTAAGTGTTTTTCCTTTGCAGTTCTAAGGTAGTCAAAACATTCATGTTTTCTAATGTGACTTCCTAGGAATGCATTATTGTTTTTTTTTTTCAAAGGACGGATCATTTTAATGCTAAGAACACAAAGTAGATTGTACAAAAGGTACATACCTTGTGACCACAAGAAATGGGATGTTGAGCTTGCCACAGCACAGTAATTGGCCATTCATGTCTATCAGAAGGAAAGGGTGGGAATGGAAAAGGAGAGACAGTCAGTGTTGATGTAGGGTCAGGTAAACACAAGAAAACAATCCTTGAAGAAGCTGTAGCCAGCCTAAGCTGGACTTCTGAAAACAAATGAAACCTAGGAGTTCAAGGACACGATCTTTGAGATTGATAGCCTGAAAATATTTTTGTCAATCGGTTTTAGTAGCATATTTTATGTATTTTGGCAACTCTATGGGTGTACTTTGAAAATCAGTCTTTACATATAAGTGCAATATTCTTTGGGAAGCAAAACTTCAAATATTCATTGTTTCATTTCAGATAACAGATGGACTAAACAATTCAAAAAGCAATTAATTTAAGTGCAGAAGTACCAAAATAGTTGCCAAACCAAGGCCTCTTACTTGGTGATATTATTTTCTCAGTTGTGGATATTTTGATCCAGGAGAGAACTAAAGTAGTCTAAAAATCAATAAGGATCATAGGTTGCCTTAATGAATACCTCAGAATTCCCCAGAGGTACAGTAATAGAATCAATTCAAGTGCAAAATCAAAGATGGAAAACCATCATCTGTTTTCCTCTTAAGTAAAATAATGCCGTATTTGTGATAGAAAAATTTATTGAGATTCATTTCAAAAACATTATTGCAACTCAGATTTTTTAAAAGCCTAATTAATTTAATTAGTATTTTATGGATCGGTGTCCTTGAAGATAATGTGCAGTTAGTCCTGCTCAAAGGTTGAAGTGGCATAAACTGGTACTTAAGAAAGCCTTCCTGTAGTTGAAGAAATTAAACCACGGAAAGTTTACATTAATCTTTTTGTTTCTGGATATATAGGTAATACACACTCATGATAAAAGTATGTAAGTCATACATGTTCATTTTATGGAAAATTATTGAAAGGAAAATAAAAATCCCTAAAGCTAACTACTGTTACTGAATCACAGACAATTTTGATGAATTTGATCTCAGCAGTCAACTAAAGCCTTCACTTACAAGTGAGAAAACAGACCTTAGGTAGAGGTAAAGTAAGTTGCTAAGGACACAAGCGTGCTTATTAGCAAAGATGGAACTTTGTCTCCTGATTTCTAATCTGAAACTTGCTTCTGATGTACCGTGCTGCCCACTCTCGCTCTCCCTGCTCTTTCGTTCACTTTTTTCTTCAGCCCCTTAAGTTCTCCCTAACCTCATCTCCTTTCCAAACCCATAATATCCTCATTACCAACCTCCATCACTCAAAACCTTTCCTGTTTCCAGAGGGACACAGACCATGCGTGTGTATGTGTGTGTGTCTGTGTGTGTGTGAGCATAGGCAATGGACTTCTGGGACTGATTTGATGTATGATGTCCCTGATCAGAAACCTTGTACAATTATTAGAGGATTAAGAAAATAACAGAGTACACTGTAGACTGAAAAGACCTATGCAAATATTAATTATTATTCTCCTAGGTAGAACTTCTTCTAAATGTGAAAAATTATTCTCAGAAATGCATTTCTTCTGCCACTATAGAAAAACCTCAATCTCCTATACCTAATAATAAATCGGTATCTATGTTGCTTTCTAAGTAGCTTAAAACCTCCTTAATCATGTAAAATCTATGCTGATTATGCCCCCTTTTAAAATTCTCTTATTTCCCTTTACAGTGCCAAGAAATTCCTTTAGATTATTTTTGAGATAACAAAACATTTTTTATAAAGCCCCAACTTTTAATACTGATTACAAAATTCAGCAGTAAGCAGTCTAAAAATAAAACCAGAAAAACCCCCAAATATTTTATTTTGACCTAGTCTCCCCTTTTCATACCTTAAAGTATAAAATTGAGCCTTTTAACCAACCTATTTAATGTTATTTTATCCATCTTATATCCACACAGTGCTCTGAAAGGGGGACTGTATATCAGCTGGACCTGGGCAGTGGGCACCACCAGAAAGGTCTCCAACAGCTCCTGGGAGTAGGTGGTTCCTATCCTACCAAAGGGATGATACTCCGCCCACCTCACCCCCACCCCGAGTTTTACACTGGCCTCCACTATCAACACTTAGTTCTAAGCCCTACTGGTGCCCAAGTCCCCGTCATCTCTAAGGGCGCCAACAGGAATAAAAAGCCCTATTTATGCTTACTGGCATCACCTGTGTTGTCCCACGCTTATTAGGTGGCGACAGGCAGAATAACAAAACAGAAAGAGCAAGGGCTTTGCCATCAGACAAGTCTAGGCTTGACTCCTAGGCTCTACCCCTCTCTCAATGACCTTGGGTGACTTATTTAACCTCTCCTCGTCTCAGTTTCTTTTTGTGTATAGTGGTGATAATAATAGTATTACTTCATAGGGATGTTGTGACGATGAGACGAGATAACATCAGATAAGCACCCTGTTTAATATCTGCCACGATGCTCCACATATATGGTGCATTTTGGTACATGTGTGACTCAACACAGATAACAATGCAGTAAAACATTTCTGGCAGACATCCTTAGGAGGACCTTCTTATTCTATTTTTAACTATCCTTAAATGTTGAAATGATCTCTCTAGTCACTATTTTCCAATTGCAGCAGAGAGGAGGGCTGTGTCCAGGGCAAATGATGTGGGTCTTTTTTTTATTTTAATCATATAGGGTCTTCCTTATTACAGGGTCTGTGTGTGCACAGATTTAAGGACCCAAGATGAGGCATATCATTCATCAGGAATTTATGGTTGTGAGACACCATTATCTTTTACTATGCTGTACTTATAACTGATGTACTATTATAGTTCGGCATTTTATGAGCCTCCTAAAGAACAGATCAACAGAATGGAAGTAGAAAGAGAAAGAAACAAACAAAAGAGCAGTCATAATGATCACATCAGTAAGAAACTGGGGTGGGGAGGGAGCTGGAAAATGAGGACTCTTGCACTGGACACATGGACTATGTCCCAAAGGGAACATTGAGGAACTCTGAAATTTTTGCTGAGAGCCCAGGATGTAAACTTCTTGCCTAAGTGTATGGCCAGCTTAGTGGGAATCAGCTTCAAGGTGCTGCTTAGAAACAGGGATGCAGTGTGGAGTGTCTGAGACAGATGACCAAGGGTATGAGCATGTGTGACACCAGAGCTCTTTGCTCAGATGGGTGAGGCTCTCCGTGCTGTCTTCTGTGAGGGGTCTGCAAGCAAACGGTACAACTGAAAAGAGTGCCAACAAGGTCCTGGGTTCAATCCCCAGTACCTCCATTAAAATAAATACAAAAATAAATAAACCTAATTACCTCCTCCCCCCAAAAAAGGAAAGAGTGCCAAGAAGAGCAGCGATACTGACTGAACATTGGAGAAATCCATCCCTGTTTATTCAGCCTGAGGAAGGCAAGGCTGAGCAAGTTCTGGTGAATGTGAAGGGAATATTGTGGCGATGCCTGGATGCATAAGAGAAACTAAACAGTTAACTCAGGTCCATTTTTTTTGTTTTCAGTGAGTGTGATGGACAAGGTGTCTCTTTTGGTCTTTCCAAATTCTCTTTCTTTTTAAAATCTCCTAAGACCACATTTGGCTTACATTTATCCCAATGAACACTATTACTGAAAAATGACACTTTCCATATGGGAGTGTATTTCTTTAAAGAAAAAAAAACTGAGGTAAACTTCACATAACATAAAATTCACCATTTTAACTAAAGTATACACTTCATAACTTTTAGTACATGCACAATGTATAACCATCGCCACTATCTAGTTCTAGAACATTTTCATCACCCCAAAAGGAAACCCCATTCCCATAAAGCAGTCACTTCCCTTTCTCCCCTCCCCCAAACCCTGGCCCCTGACAACCACTCACGTGCTTCCTGTCTCTGAGGATTTGCCTTAGGAATACACCTCTTTTGAAATCTTCTGAATTCTGCATTTAATGTTACAATTAGAAGCTATAGACTACTGAGTGTACTGTGTGTGTGTGTGTGTGTGTGTGAGAGAGAGAGAGAGAGAGAGCGAGCGAGCGAGCTAGAGAGACAGAAATGAGAGAGAAATGAGAGTCAGCGTTCGTAAGAAACTTTGCAAGGTCAAATCTATTTAAAATATTCAAACAAAATGGAAACTTGGGAGGGTACTTATTTTTTAATTAAATGTCTGTAACTTAAATTAGGTGTCTGAATGTAAATAGCTCAAGGGTGCAGTCAGTTACATGATATGGAAATGTCATACAGTTCTTAAGATATGCCTGTAAGCATTGAGAAAGACGTTTGAATGGTAATGTGGCTTTATAGCTCCTATGTTAGGCTGAAAAAGTTTCACACCCAACAGAAGCTCTGTCCTGGATCTGAGCTCTTCCTGGAATAGCTGATGATAACCCTATTACTTTTCTTTAGAGCAGTGAAGTGGTGACCATTGTTTATTCTGCATTTATTTGTTCTGGTGAGCACGTCAGATACAGCAGAGGAAACTTAGGATGCCTGACCGGTAAGTGAAAAAGCAACTTAAAAATAAAATAGTAAAAACTCTTTTATTTCACAACCATAAATACTTACCAATATTAAATTAAAACATGCATTTTACTCTCGCTGGAATTTTTTTAAAGTTAATCTATTTGCAACTCTAAAACTTTGAGAATGAACTAGAAAATGGTCTTTAGAGCAGCTTTTTTTTTTGTAAACTGATTTAAGACTTGCATGATTTCCTTAGTTATGATTACATTGACAGGAAAGTTGTATTATCTGAGTTATGGAAAAAATAAATATGACTTTTGAAAGAAATCTTACTTCTTCAGCCAGTCAAGTGATACTTCAGAAGGCAGAACAGCCAGTCACGTCTTGTGATTTAAGTGCTGCTTGGTAATCTAGAACGTCAAGGCCAGGAGATTACTATCATTTTGCATTTTGCGCATATTTTGAGGATTTTTATTCCATTTTCATTTTCAATTCCTTTCCATTTCATAAGCCCCAACTAATATATCTTGGCTATTCCCATTAATAAGGATTTAGGATTCCTTTGCCAAATCTCAAACACTTTACTGGTCTTGGTGTTATGGTTTCTTGTTTTCTTTCCAAATGCTTCACTGTGGGCTCCCATCTGTTCTTTTTGCACCTTTACTCTCAGTTGTACCTTCAGGGGACTCCTGATGGTAATGGAAAACAGTCTCCCCTTCACATTTTGAGCTATACACAACTTCAGTTTCGCATAAACATTTCTCAGGCAGTGTCCACCGGAAGTACTTTATTTTTTTAACCAACTGAATCTCCTTTAAGCCACCTGGAAGTTGGGGACTGCCCCACACTCCTCTTATGACAAATACAAAATAATGTAAAGCACTTGGAGATCCTTGTTGCTGAGAGACGCTGTGGCAAATGTGCAGTGTATCATTATCTTCTGTGCCTTGCTTGAAGACCTATCAACAAAATGCATCTCTGGTGAGAGATCACCATAATGTGGAGGAGTTTCATTCGCCAATTCCCTCCTTCTGCTGGTGCCTCACATAACCGTGCTCTCCAACTTCAGAAGACAAGCTGAAACCTCTCTAGGAGTGAAGAGAAAGGACTTGAAAGTGTTGTGAAAGAAAGGGGAAAAAGGAGGGCTTGGAAAGGATCAAGGCAATTAACAGCAGTAGGTAAACTGTAAATCCCCTATCTCTGACCTCCAGACCACATCCCAACCGAATCCAGCTGCACCCCGCCCGTTGACCTCTGGGGCTCCTGATTGGGAGTCTAGATATAGGGCATATATTCGTGTGTCTCCTTTCACTGAAGGGTGTCAGTCCGGCCTGTGCTCAGGGTGTGGAATCTGGTTGGAGTTTCAATGTGTAGGACCCAGTCCGGGGGTTCTGGTGAGACTGAGAAGGGTAAGGTAACCAGGGGGCTATAGGGATTCCAGGGTTTTGGGCAGAGCCGGATAAGGGGAGGAGGAAGATTGGAAATGACAAGGAAGGTTCAGGTCTGGAGTTCTTTAGAGTCATTCACCTGCTCCTTCAGGAGGCCACCGAATGGCTTTTTCTGGACTGGGACACAACTGGGATAACCGGTATTCCTGGTAACTGCCGTCAGATACTGGGCCTTTTGGAAGAGGTGTGGAAGGGACGTGCAGGTGCGGGCTGGGGCCAGAGGACGCTGAGGGAGAAGGAAAGATAATAAAGGAAAATGCCTGGGCTGCCTCCTCCTGGTTGCATCTCCAGGAAGGATTTGGAGACCCGAGTTCTGGGCTGGAGCTGGGTCCCTAAGTCGCTGCGGGACTTAACCTTTACAAGACTCCGTTTACTCCTCTGAAGAGGTCTGGACTCTGATCTCTGCGCCCCTTCCTGCCCTTTGATTCTGGTTCTTTGAGGGAAGCCCCGCTATGCAGTCCTGGGAAGAAAAGACATTCTCTGCCGCAGGCGGGGCCGGAATGGGGGGGGTGTCAGGAAAGAGGCTTCTGTGACACGGATTTTATTTATTTAGATACCTATATTAAAAATGATTTTCGTTAAAAAAAAAAACAAACAGAAACAAGAAAAGCGTTCCCTCACCCCCAAGCCCAGGCTGGGGCTTTGCACGACGACCGTCGGCGGCCGCCTACCCCCGGGTCGGCCAGGCAGCGGGTGCGGAGCGCGGGTCTCCAGCCGCTGCCCTGGGCTTGGCGCACGCGTCTCCCCGCCGCCCCGCCGGCTCGGCGCGCCGTCCTGCGCCTCCCGGCCGCCGGGCCTCCCCGAGCCTCTCTAGCGGCCTCCCCGAGGGCGGAAAACCCGGCGAGCCCAGAGAAGGTCCCCGCAGGCCCGCAGGTTGTTTTCGGCCCCGTTGGACGCTTGCGCCGCGGGCGGGCGACTCCTCCTGGGAAGGGCGTGGAGGGCGGCTGGGCTCCTGGCCTCGCGCCGCTGGGACGCCCGGCTGGCGGGGGCGGCCCGCGCGGCGGCGACGGCGGC